ACGATGGCCAAAAGGGACATGGAAGAAGAAGCTTTGATCTACCCAATTCCCCAAACCTGGAGCTAGAGCTGACCGATCTGAAATCATCGTCAAAAGCATGGTTAGAACATAACCCGCAGCCTCTATCGACATCGTATTTGGCAATGGGGGATTAGGGGGTTGCGTTGTATAGTGGGGAGGATTCGGGGATCGGGGTTTCGATGGGGATTGGGTTTTCCGGTCGGTGATTGAGTGTGCGGTGGCAGTGGTGTAGCAAGGCAGTGAAATCTTCCACCGCAGCCGGAGAAGCCGACCTGGACTTTTTATGATTCTATTCTCGACGAATTCAATGGAGAATGGAGGAATTTGGATATCGATTAAGGGAAGAGAAAGAAGAATTGAGAAAAGAAGAAGGTAGAAAGAATAAAGACGAAGGTAAGAAGAAGAAAAGAAAGAGTAAAGTTGTAGGAGTTGATTTATCATTTATCTGTTATTAATTTATTTTTATTTTAATTAAAAATATGATGTGGTAGATAGGTGGCATGACTTGTTGTGTTGGATCTGATGTGGCAATTGAGGTAGCATTCACATCAGCGTTTTGTTAATAGTGTTAAATTTTCTGATGAAAATGGCTAATTTTGTCAAACGAGTTTCCAAAATGTGGCTACAATTGTTTATTTTTCAAAAATATATTATTGTCAAAACGTGAATAGTTATGGCTATGCAAGTGAATTAAGTCAATTCTTAAAGGAAGATCCAAAGTATATATTTATAAGAAAAACTACAAAATTTTCTTTAATCAAAGTTTATATCAAAATAGGGTATTAACCTTATGACGTGGAAGCTAAGACGCCGCCACCTCAATATTATATGCTGAATCATAAATAAATAAATAAATGTTTGACCATCAATATTGACGTTAAACTTAAAATTTGAACCATATTTATCCATTTTCTTTCAAAACTCAGATTCTACTATCTTATCTGCCGGCCAAAAATATATTTTATATAGAAGTATAGGTCAAAATAAGTTATTATCCGAAAAGAAAACAAACAACAAACTCCAATTAAAAACAATTACTTGTTCGAAAATGAAAATAAATCCCATTACAACGTTGAGTCGCTCAGACTAGCAGGTACAAAACGGCGCCGTGGACTGGCTGTTAAACCCAAGGCACGTGCGTGGGGGCGGAAGGGAGAAATACCGTAAAGCCAGTCTGGCCCGGCGATCAATCATAGCAGGGCCAGGGGGAGAGAGAGAGGGAGAGTTAGCGCGAGAAAACTGAAAAACAGAAAGGAACAAAGGTCATTGCTTTGTTTTTGCCGGCGACCCCAACAATCAAGTGATCGATTCCTCCGCTCTCGCAAATTAAAAAGCTATGCCCTTTTCCCCGATGTGAGGCTTTCTCATCCCCGATCGGCCAGGAAGCGGGTGGAAGAATTGAATTAGTAAAGCAATGAAAGGCGTCTTAGCGGCGCCGGGAGATTATGTCCACTTCAAGTCCCAAGTTCCTCTCCATAAGATCCCCGTAAGTCCTGAATACCCAATTTCCATTCATCTCTCAATTTCCCATCTTTTGTTGCTGGGTTCATGGGAAATTGGATTTTGGGGTATTATTAGTTACTTCCAGCTAGGTAGAGGGTTGGCTGCACACTTCTTTTTTTTCACAAAGTCTATTTTCTGCTGGATTGCCCATGATCATCTTAATCTGGGTGTGTGCATTGTATGTCTTGAAGTTGATTCTAGCTCCTACTTCGGATTGGTAGTCTGTACTAGAATTGGGAGATTTGGCTTGAGAGTAATTCATTAAAATGTTTGTGCTTGTCAATTGCTGGACATGCGTTCTTTCCTGATCAATTTATAAGTTGCAAAGGGTTTTTCGTTCGGCATTATCGTATCATAACTATGGAATCTCTGGATGGTGTTCTGATATTCTGCTGCTGATCTTGTTCTTTTGTAGCACAATAGGTTTCCTCTTTCTAGCTTGGTATCTTGTAGTGTCGGTTCTTTATTAAAATGTGCTTTCTTCCCTTCTTTCATGTTTTGTTTTCCTCATATAGATTGGATCAAAGCAGTGGCGGTACTATGATTTTGGTCCCAAAACGGTGGCTCCGCTGATATGTCTTCCTGGGATAGCAGGAACCGCGGATGTTTACTACAAACAGATTATGGCATTGTCCATGAAGGTAATTTTTGAGCTGTCTTGTTATGTTATTTCAACTGTCTACAGAGTTGGTATTTGAATGGTTCAATTGTATCTCGGAAGAAGTTCTAGCAACAGGCTGATATATCACATCAGAGTATTGGAGACTATATCATATTAGATACTATAATGCTCCATCCACGTGCTTAAAAGTCAGCGGAGGAATGATGCTTTGGCCTTGGCGTTTCTCGGGTTATTTTTTGGATTTATGATTCTTGTCTGGATAAACTTCACAAATGCTTTAGGGTGGATTTTATATCGTCCTATCATCTATCATATATGGAATCTGTTGGTAGTTTGTAGATTTGTGGATGCATGTTGATTTAGAATTTCTTCAATGTGGAACTAATGATTCATTACTTGGTCAATATAAAGGCCTTTGGATTGTATTTCACAACATGTTCAAAATTTGTCAGGGTTATCGGGTGATCGCTGTTGATATTCCACGCGTTTGGAATCATATGGAATGGATTCAGGCGTTTGATAAGTTTTTAGATGTCATCAATGTTCATCATGTAAGAATCTTTCTCAATATGCCTTTGTTCTCTGTTTATCTTTTTGTTGAACAGTTTGTTCTCTCTTCCTATATTTATGCTGCATATGCTTTTGAATTGTTCGAGGCCAACAAATTCTTGCTGTCCTTCATTTCATGGCACAATCATGTTTACCTCGTCTATTAGATGAACTAATTTTATTGTAAATATGACAGATGCACCTCTATGGTACATCTCTTGGAGGCTTCCTGGCTCAAATATTTGCTCAGCATCGTCCAAGGCGAGTGAAATCATTGGTCCTATCAAATACATTTTTGGATAATCGGAGTTTCGCAGCTGCTATGCCATGGGCACCTTTGTAAGTGCTATGATCATATATCTATGCCATTGAAAATTGTGGTGTTTTCATATAGGACAGAATCTGAATTCATGAACTTATCACAGATTTTCATCCTCCAGATGGTCAAAGCATAATCGATTGGATGTGGCTAATGGATTTTTCTTTGCTCACTTTCTGTTTTTACGTTCATCACTAATTTTCTTTATATTAAAAGTGTCGTGACTTTAATGATACATATTAGATGGGCCTTCTTTTTAATGAACTTCTTATAGAATACCTTTGTTGCTTAAATGGTTTCTAGCTTGCTGGAGAATGGTTCTTATACTATTCATACTGATTTTGTAAGTATACTTAGCTATACATCTTCATCGAAAAACTAACTTCCAAAGTACTCATGGTTCCTGCAGTGTTAGTTGGACACCTTCGTTTTTGCTCAAACGATATGTCTTGACTGGGATTCAAGATGGGCCACATGAACCTTTTATTGCAGATTCAGTAGACTTTGTTGTTTCTCAGGTACAGTCAAAACCATTTGGTCTATTTACACATTTACTATCCTCCAGTTTGAAACTTACTTGCCAATGCTTCTCATCAGGTCGAAACACTTTCAAAGGATGATCTAGCATCAAGGCTAACTTTGAATGTTGATGCCGCATCGGTTGGATCTCTGCTCCTTTCTGACCAATTCATCACCATCATGGATGTGAGTTTTACCTGAACCTGTTCCAGCTGCTAGCCAACTTTGTTGTATATACAATGCTAGTTTTTTTTCTTTCTCACTGCTGTCTTTTGGTTATCCTGCTTACTCCTTAAAAGACGAATGACTACTGTGCGACACCTCAGCAACTGAAGGATCAGTTGAGCGAGAGGTACCCAGAGGCAAGGCGAGCTCAGTTGAAGAGCGGTGGCGATTTCCCATTTCTTTCACGGCCAGATGAAGTCAACTTGCATCTCCAGGTCAATAATCTACTGTAACTAACTAGCTCAACGGACAAGGAAGCATCTTTTACTGATATCTCATGGTTGCACAATTATTTGCAGTTGCACCTGAGGCGAGTTGGGGTAGAACCTCAACCTGCAATGGCGAGGGGCATTCCACCTGGAAGTGGGACTGGAGGAAGTCAAAGCAAAGAGAAAGATGAGGAGGAAGAAGAAGACCGACATGGTCCATCGAAAGATGGAGGGAACTCTGCAGCAAGCTCTTCTTCAGGTAGTGATCCGCTGCCTTTGCCTCCTCCAGAGAGTTCCGAATCACAACCCACCAGTGCTGATCAGCTCCTCAACAAGGATGTTTTGGTCGCACGGAGTTATGGTGCAATGGAGGCATTTCTTCATCACTTGGTTGCTTCTTACGTGGGATATGTGTACATTAGTTTGAACTATGGTCGGGATTCCAGACAAATGTTAATGTAGCGACGATGGGTGTGCATGCTGCTGCTTTGAATTTTCTACAAGCGATTTAGTGCGAACGAATTGAGAATCTGGTGTTTGGTAGTGGTGTTGCTTTGCACATAACCCATGTCTGGCATTGTTGTAAATTTGGCGTTCAATGGTTCTTTCATAAGTTTCCAGTTAGGTTCGTGGTTTTTATGAGATTCCGGCCAGACCATTGTATATCGTACGATTTTAAACTGCTTTTACAAATAGGCTTTGTTTGAACTGTCAGACTTCACAAGTTTATCTTAGTTTGCCTTATTGTTTGTACTTCATTACATTGTTTTATTCTTTTCAGGAAGCTGGCTGCAAGTAACACCCTAATCAATTAGAATACTTTTAACATTGATATTCGATATTCAACAAGCTAGCATTGCATTTAGGTTGTCAAAATATGAACTCCTAATGCATCAGTACGTCTCCGGACAAAGTCTCCAACCCCACAGAAAAAGTGAAAGACAAAAGTCATCAAGACTTCATCAGGTTCTTGCTATGCTATTCATAGGACGAGGAACTCTATTCAAATGGTAGGGTTCACGTTTCCTCATAGACCATAGTCATAACATATCTTCAAAGAATAACCATGGAGGCATAATGTCTGGCAAATCTATTCTCAAAATTTCATTTTACGCTGAATGATTCATTTTTAAGTTACAGAATTCTGAAATCATAGTAACACAAAAGGAATCTCAATGTAGCTTATAATTGTTGGAGCAAAAACCCCCCAGCATACAAGAAAGGAAGAACAAGATGCCTGTAACTGGAAACAACAAAAGGAACAGCAAGTAATGCACTTGTAGAAAGCACCCATCGCTAAACAACCATCTACGAGGTCTCTCATGGTTGTCAGCAACAGATTCCATTTAGCACATTTGCAACAAAACCTCCACTCCTCTACCCAGCTGTTGTCCTAGTCTTGCAACCTAAGCAACCAGAGTACTTGCTGTAGTTGACTCACTGCATCCAAAGAGAAAAAAGGAATATCAGCAATGCAAGTCATGTAATATCAGCCATTTCTATTAAAAGATTCAGCCAAGATGTCATCTAATTGGAAATATCAAGCACCAGATGAAATGTTTTGCTATCAAAGTACATGTTACAGAAGTAAGAGCAGAAAAAAATTTAGCCCATTGATCTGGTTCATCTTGCAGAAGTAAGACGAGTTAAAAACATAGCTCATTCACACAGTTTAACTATACTTATGGCTGCGCAGCCAGATTAGAGAGGCAGCTTGTATCACTTATTTAGCTCTAGCTCTGGTTCTTTTATGCTACTATTTCTAAGTAGCTGGCCATAGGAGAAGCAAAAGGCGATCAAGATTCTTGTTCTTCAGCAAAAAGAGCGAGCTATCATGCACAATATCTGCCTCCATCACTCAGTGGAAGAACCCTCCGTCTCTAAATGATCGTCAAAATATCTGCCTCCATTACTCCATGGAAGAACCCTTTATCTCTATGATCATCTCAATAACCCATAACAACACTCGCAAAATGCCTCACTATCACAACCGTGCTCTCATTCCATTATGAGATAAATCCAATCACACTTCTCAATTCAACACAAGGGGAAAATTTCTGTCATTGCAAAGTTGAAGATAAGATTCTGATAAGTGGGAAACATGGGCCATGGCTGTAGAGAAAGGAAAAACTCACTATTTCCAGACGGGAGGGAGCTTCTTGGTGCTCTTGTAGTAGCGGGCGAGCCTGTGGATTCTGCTCTCCACCAGAATCAGCCTGAACTTGGAATCCTTATCCTTCCTGTTCCTCTCCAGATGCTTGCGGACAGCCACAGCCTTCTTTATCATATGGTAAAGATCCTCGGGGATCTCCGGCGCCATTCCGCTGGCTTTCAGAATCCGCAGAATCTTGTTCCCCGTCACGCTCTTCACCTGAGCAATACCGTGGGAGTCCCTGAGGATCACGCCGATCTGTGACGGCGATAGCCCCTTCTTCGCGAACTTGCAGATGTTCTCTTCGACCTAGACAACATTCTCACAAACACAGTGAACTCAGGGAAACGACGAGAAATTGAAGGAGAAAGGAAGAAGCGGCCGAGCTTACATCTTGAGCAGTTGTTTTGAGCCAACTGTGGGGAGTGCGCTTGTACTTGGCAGCAGAGGCGGAGATGCCTTTCCTGGTAAACAGAAACGAGATCAGAACAAATTACGCCAAGGAAATGGGATATGGAGAGAGAGATAGAGAGAGAAGCAAACCCGCGGCTATGCATACGACCCATGGTGGAAGGAAGTGGCGGGTTTTCCGACGGATTAGGAGGCGAGGCTGCGGCGTTGAAGCTCTGAAGAAGATGAAAGCTGGGAAACGAGTAGAAAGAGTTAACGGGGTGACCTAGTGACTTGTTTGCGGTTTGGGTTTTATATTCAGGGAAGATGTAACGTGGATCCTTATGTGTGGGCTTTATGAATTGGGCTGACGGCCTAGTAGATCAACATAAACATTTGACGGTCCAATAGGCCGGTGTTGTCAGCCCAAATGGCGAGGGAGGTTATGCTTCTGTTGATATAGTTGGATTATGGGTCCATTTCGGAGAATGGAAAGGGGGCTAAATGGTGGTTGCGACGGGATGACAATGGGTCGGGTTGGGGCGGGTTTTGTCAAACCCAAAACCAAACCTATGGGTTTATCCGCCAAAAAAATTTGGGATAAAATTCGTTGGGTTTGAAAAACTCAAACCCAACCCAACCCGCTGGGTATTCACGGGTTCATGAGTACCCGTGGGTTTTTGTGGTAAAAAATTTACAATAACAAGTTTCTTTCAAAATAAAAGTTTATCATCAATTTTCTCATACAAATTATTCATGCAAAAAACATCAATCTAGAGCATACAAGCAAACCGCAAATGATCAATACAAATTGTTCAAAATTAAAGATAAACATCTATAAACAATAAGATTAATTGAAAGCTTTTTCCTCGTCAACTAAGTTTCTTCACTCTCCACTTCATAATATCAACTTCATTCTAAACAATTAGAAAGAACAAATTATACATGTCTCCACAAACATAAAGAATATTAGTTGTTTAAGGAAGATACATTATTTAGAATAATAAATATACCGGGAAAGGAATTATATGTGTGTGGGCGGGTACCCATGGGGCGGGTTTACCTAAACCCAAACTCAACCCGACCCGATGAATAATGTAGCGGGTTTAAACCCAAAACCCGTCAACACGGGTTTTACCCGCGTTGACTGAGTTGGGTCGGGTGGGGTCGGGTTTTGTTGTCATCCCTAGGTTGCGTCATGATCACTTATTTATGTGCCTTTAAAGATTTTATAAACCGTTTGGTACCAAATAAATCAAGAATTCATTTTATTTTAAAATGAATTACCTTGTAGAATTCATTGTCAAATGAAATCTTGTGTTTGATATGTCATATTCAAATCCTTAAAAATAAAATGAATTGCGGCGCAGAATTAATTGTCAAATGAATTTTTGTGTTTGGTATGTCATATGTATAAGTATTATGGTATGCTTCGAGGTATGTTTATAAGTATTATGGTATGCTTCAAAAAATTTGTAGTATGTTTTATCTTATTTTGTATCTGTTTCATGGAGCTTATGGTATGTTTATGAGGTTTCTAGTATCCTTCAAGAAACTTGTGGTTTGTTTATGATATTTATGGTATGCTTCGAGGAACTGGTGATATACTTTATGAGTATTCGCGATTTTTTTAAGGAACTTGTGGTTAGCTTTGAGTTTTCGTGTATACTTTATAAATTTGATGGTGTGGTAACGTTTTGGTTTGTTTTATAAGCTTTCTAGTCTGCTTTATTTTATTTATGATGTAATTTATTGTGTTTCTGGTCTCTCTTTTATTGCATGATATTAATAATACTTGCGGTGAGGACGCATAATAAATGAGCAACTGATCCACACACTTGTTCCCTCCTATTATTTTTTTTAAATATACTTAGGGTGTTCCCTCTCTTTATAAATCCGCAATAATTGTGATCAACCTCTTATAAATAAATAAAAAATCATCAAACAAAATATTCTATTGAGTGAAACTAATGCTTATCCTTTTTGGAGTGACGAATCTTGTATGTGTTCATAAGAAAATGAATTTGTCCATTTTTCGGGGTCTTCTCTTACCCGTCGGAGTTTAATTCAAATCGAAACCAATTAGAAAAAAGTTATTCCTGGTCAGATCAATAAAATTATGAAAAAATAACTCGATTTTCAAATATACAACATAGATTATGGCAATGCAATGTAGTTGGACTCTCATGTCGATCTGAATGAATCATCCTTTCCATGGAAGTAAATCTTTGCCTGCTAGGCAAGAGGATAGTAAGTTCTAAATGCTGTCTCGGTAGGATATAACATCATGTTAACAAATTGGGTGCTAGCAATTAGCATCCTAACATTTGCCTCATATTTAAATTTTGTTTCTTCTTTTTCCCACAGGTCTTTGTGAGACAGTGAGAGAGATGTACGGTGTGGCCAGTCGGGAGGAATGCTATGGACTAAGGAAGCACCAGGTAAGAAACTCCGTCAAAGAGGTGTACAAGAGATCTTCTGGTGCGGCGTTGGACTTCGGCGAAACAGCCTTCAAAATGACGGCAAACGCCGTTCTCAGCATGTTGTGGGGAGGAGTGGCAGGGGACGAGAGCTTTTACGGTGAGCTTAGAGAGTTGGATTCGGAGATGCTGATGCTGATGGGTGATGGGGGCTTTTATTCTTGGGTGTTCTCCCCAAAAGGTCTCGTACTAATGCAGGGGCGGAGCCAGGATTTCGAGATCGGGGGGCCGAAAATAATTAAAAAAATTACGTAACCAATGTGGATTGAACCTGTGTGCTTTTATACACAAGTTAAGCTTGACTACCATTAGACCACATAACTATTTGATGACATAATTTATAGAACAAGTTCTACTTCTAAAATTTGTACGAAATATCCTTAAAAACTTAGGGGCCGAGATCAATCTCGGGGGGGCCAGGGCCCACCCTAGCTACAATGTAGCTCCGCCCCTGTACTAATGAGGTTGGTGGACACTAACATACAAGGGTCCCTTCCCTTGTATTACCGATGTGATACTTGGATTGTCTCATCACAATTCTCCACTCAAGTCAAGGATCACGAACTTTTTGTCCTCACCCCAGCAATTATCTTGATCCGCCAAACGCCTTGTATCGATGGGTTTCTCGGTACAAGGACTTTACCAGACGCAAAACTTTACAAATGCGGAACTCTCTTTGATCCGCCAAAGCCCAAATGTGGATCTTTCCTGGATCCACCAAACAGACGCGAATCACCTTTGACCCGCAAGACAAACGCAAATATCAAATCCCGAGGCCACTGAATGAGGGTCCACCAAACTGACGTCCACCGCCCTGGACCCGAATCGGGCTCTGATACCACTTGTCACAACCGGGGTCACTCAATAGTACGATATTGTCCACTTTAGCCAAGCCCGCACGGATTTGCTCTTGGGTATCCTCCCCAAAAGGCCTCGTACTAATGTGCTTGGTGGACACTAATATACAAGGGTCCCTTCCCCTGTATTACCGATGTGGTACTTGGATTGTCTCATAACACATGTGTTTCAGCCTGTTTCGACTTAGGCGTAGTAAAGTAGTCGGCCGTCCGGCCTAATAAACAACGGCGGATCTAGGGGGCCGCTCCCGGGCCACGGTCCAGCCTTCCCCGGATCTAAAACCCGTATAGCACTTGTAAATTTTTTATTTTGGGTATATATTTCAATGTTTATAAAGTTACGGCCAATCCTTCTCCACCATTTTTTAAATGCGGCCCAATGCCCTGATAGTACTCTCGATGCATACTCTTTCAGTAAAATTAAAATTAAAATTTTCTTTTAAAATTTTCTTTTAATTACAATCCCCGCGTTGATGAGGCAGTTTTCCCAGCAGTATGAGGAATGGGTGGGGTTGCCGGTGGATGTGCCCCCCGTACCTTCTCCCCTGACGGGTCCACGGACAGGTGGGTTGGGTCAGGCTGCAGGGTTTACTTGCCAGTGGGATGGGGCTACCAGGAAGGGATCGCATTCAGCGGGTGGCATGGTTCTTCTGTCTCCCTCGAGGGATGTTCTTATGGCTCACGGGATTCAGTTTCAGGGGATTGATGATCCTGTGGTCGTGGAGTTGCTTGTGCTCCGGGAGGCCATTGCTTAGTGTGTGGGCCAGGGTTTCGCGGGGATGCGCTTCGAAGGGGATGCCAAGATCATCATTGATAAAATCAATTGCAAGGATGCTAGAGACAACCAGATGGGTGCTATTTTGGAAGAAGTCTTACACTATTTTGGTAGCAGCCCTGGGTTTAGTGTGCGGTTTATAGGTCGGAGTAATAATAGGGTAGCCCATATGGTGGCTAGAAAAGCCCTCTCTTTGCACCCGACTATGAGTCGTTCCTTTGATTTTCGGGCCTGGCTTAGTTCCAAGGTGTAACTGTCTATGTTTTGGTATCAATATATGATTATCTTTTGTAAAAAAAAAAAAAAAAAACATACGAAGATAATGACATAGTGTACACTCCCTCTCTAATAATGTTTCACCTGATACATATGAAGACAAACTCACGAGACTATCTTCCTCAACGAAGAAGAAACGAAGTTTCACTTTATGGAAAAGGTTTGTTGTCTCTATATGATTTACGATCTAATTCATCGAGTTCATTTATACCATTTGGTAATTATTCATGTAATAATTACTGTTATACACGTAAATTAAATTCTAATTTTTTAATTTTAATAATTTATATTGATCATATTTTATAAAGTTTAATTAAAAAAATTGTTGCATTGATGATAATTTACACAATGACTTTCATTTTAATATATTTCAAATTTTAAAAATCAATTTTACAGTGGCATGAGTGAATGACAACATCAGTGTGAATAAATTCTCTAATTTTTTTATATATTTCAAATTTTAAAAATAAATTTTACAGTGTAACATCTATTTTCCTTCTCTCTCTTGTTTTTCAAATTCTGTACCTTCTCTCTAACAACTTTGTCCAAGCTTTAATGGGGGCTGTTGCCGGTGTTACTTTGCCAACCGGCGGCAGCCCTCCGCCTCTCTGACTTTACATCTCGCTTTTCCTTGCTATTTTCTTACTTTTCGGTGTTCTTCTGCCTGCATCTCGTGCTCTGTTTTCCAGTCTTTTTTACATCTTTTCACCCCTGTGTGGGTTCTGTTCTTGCCCCTTCTGTGGGATGTTGTTTTTTCCTTCGATTTGCTTTCCAAATCTGAAGATGTTTGCCCGGTTCTTGATGCGATGAGGTCGGATCTGACATAGACCCGACTTGTCTTCTCCTCTCCCCTCCTTTGGTCTAGCTCCTTGTCTTTGCCTTGCAGATCTTGACGAGTCGGAGATGTAGCCCTTGGCATGGATCTGGTTGGGAGAGCTTGAAGACAGTGGTATTCTAACTCTCGGTCTCTTCCATCGATCGTCCGGTTGTTCTATTTCCCTTGGCGTGGCGGTGGGTTGCAGGCGGTGATCGACCCGAGGTGAGTTGGCCGGAGGTGTTTCCTCCTCTCGTCTTCTGGGTTGGGTGAGGTCCTGGCCTCGTGCGCGGCTCGCAATATGCTCTTCGGTGGGTCGGTGGTGCGACGAGTGCGGTGGTGGTCCTCGGCCGCAACGGTGGAGGTTGACAGAGAGGGCACTGACGTCTAGGGTTTGGGTGCTCATCCTTTATTTTGGCCATGGGTCTGGGCAATACTGGGCTTTTGGGTTTTTCTGTGGGTCGGGTTTGTGTTTAGTTTCTTTCGATCCTTGTTTAAGACTTCCTTTTTGTTTATTCAAATTGTTTATGCTCCTCGTCCCACTAACAGAGCTGTTTATTTTGTTTTAAAAACAACCCTTTCATCGATAACTCGGAATTTGAATAACTGCCGCAATTTACTTTAAAACGATTTGTGGGGGGGACACAAAAAATCTACTAGGGTCGTTTAGTTTTGGTGATTGTTTGATTGGGATAGTTACAAACTTACAATGCATGTATTGTCCATAATGCATGGGTTTTTTGAATTTCATACACAAACAATACATGCATTGTTTGCTTGATGTGATGGAAACTATCACTCAAAATGAGTGATAGTACTATCTCTACTAAAACTTGAGATTGTTGAGTACATTACATCATTTTCCTAAATTGCATATATATTACAATGCATGCATTAACCACATTGCATTGATTTAAATATCACCAAAATCAAACGACATGTTGAATACTAAAGGAACTATCACGAAAATCAAACAATATAAAGTATATTATATTATTTTTCTTAATTGCAGGTATATTACATTGAATTAAGTACACCAAAATCAAACTACCCCTACGTGTATATTACATTGACAACAATACATTGAATTAAGTACACCAAAATCAAACTACCCCTACGTGTTCAAAGGACAACAAAATAATTAAATAAATCATTCAATTCAATTATTCCGCCCCTGAAAAAAAAAAATGGCGGAGATAGAACAGTTACAAAGTTACAGTCACATAGTCACTCAGTCGGTCTACGGAGGCTATAATTGAAGTCCACACTTCTTCTGAAAATTCCATCATTCAGCTCAAGATCTCCTCTTTCAATCCGAGAACACTGAAAACCTTCAGGCTCCGTCGACATGGAGATTTCTTCTTCCGCTCTCCGCCTTCCATTTCTATTCTTGCTGGTACCTCTGCTCCTTTTCTTCCTCCTCTCCCCTTGGAACCCGCTCCACAACCTTTCCGGCGGTGGCGACTCCGCCGGCCGCCGGACCCAGTTCCCTCCCAAGTCCCTTACCTCAATATCTCCCCCGCCTGCCGAACCCCGATCCCCGCCGCGCAGGGACCACAACTCCGCCACCGCCCGCAACCCGCTCGACCCGCTCACCGTCGGCGAAATTCACCGTGTCCGATCAATTCTCTCCTCCTACCAACCTTTTCTCCATCACTTCCCTTCGATTCAATCCATGTCCCTCGACGAACCGGACAAATCGCGGGTCCTCGGGTGGAAATCGGGCGACCCGATTCCGCCCAGGAAGGCCTTCGTCATCGCACTGCTGGACAATCAGTCGCACCTGCTCACGATTGACCTCGACTCGGGCCGGGTCGAGACCCACGAGATCAGTTCCGGGTCGGGTTACCCGATGCTGACGATGGAGGACGTCGTGGCGGCGGTGCAGACGGCGGTTTCGTACCCAGAATTGGAGGCATCCGCCGCTGCTCGCGGACTCTCGGTGGCGAATCTGTCCTGCATCTCGCCCTCGCCGGGCTGGTTCGGACCCGACGAGGAAGGGAAGCGGATCTTGAAGGTGCTCTGCTTCTCCAAACAGGGGACGCCCAATTTCTACATGAGGCCGCTCGAAGGGCTGGTCATGACCGTCGATGTTGACCGGCGAGAAGTCCTCCAGTTCTCCGACACGGGGAAAGGGATTCCGATCCCCGGCAGAGCCAACACCGATTACAGATTCCGACCCGGGAACAAGCCGCCGGAGATGGAGCGGATCAACCCGATTTCGATGGAACAGCCGCGTGGGCCCAGCTTCACTGTGACGGACGGGCATTTGGTGAAGTGGGCAAATTGGGAATTTCACTTGAAGCCGGATCAGCGGGCCGGATTGGTGGTGTCCCGGGTCGTGGTTCGGGACTCCGAAACAGGGGCGGCGAGGAGCGTGATGTACAAAGGGTTCCCGTCGGAGCTTTTCGTGCCGTACATGGACGCCGACGAAGGATGGTACTTTAAGTCGTACATGGACGCCGGCGAGTTCGGGTTGGGCGCCACGGCGATGCCGCTTGTTCCCCTGAACGATTGCCCTCGAAATGCTTATTACATGGACGGGATTTTCGTGTCGGCGGATGGGCAGCCGTTTGTTCAGAGCAACATGATCTGCTTGTTCGAACGCTACGCCGGCGACGCCGCCTGGAGACATTCCGAGCTCACTGTTAGCTCCGGCGGTCAAGAGGTACGTAATTGACAGCCGGAATTAAAAAGTAACTACTACAATTCGGCCCCCCAACAAGTTTAATTGAGGATCGTGCAATGTTGCAGTTAAGGGAAGCTAGAGCTAAGGTCACACTGGTGGCTCGAATGGCTGCATCTGTTGGAAACTACGACTACACATTTGATTGGGAATTTCAGACCGATGGCTTGATCAAGATCACTGTAAAGTGCTAATTACTACTATACCAGCACCTAATCATGTAGCTCTTTCTCCTAACGACGTTAAATTCGGTTGGTTGTTACAGGTATCTCTATCAGGAATGCTGATGGTGAAAGGGACTGTGCATGACAACATGAACCAAGTCCAGAACCAGGATGAGATGGGACCGTTAGTTTCGGAGAATGCGATCGGAGTAGTTCATGACCACTTCATCACGTTCCACCTCGACATGGATGTCGACGGGCCAAACAACACGTTCGTGAAGGTGAACCTGGTGAAGGAAGAGAATGTGGAAGGGAAAACCCCGAGGAAAAGCTATCTGAAACCCAAGAGACATGTCGCCAAGACGGAGGATGATGCTCGAATCAAGCTGAGCCTTTACGATCCTTCCGAGTTCCATGTGGTGAACCCTTCGAGGAGGTCGAGGTTAGGGAACCCTTCGGGTTACAAAGTTGTTCCTGGAGGGAATGCCGCTAGCCTGCTCGATCACTCGGACCCTCCTCAACTGAGGAGCGCTTTCACTAACAATCAGGTGAAAAGATATGGAAAATGGGATTTGAATTTCGATACGAATGACGAGTAGTGCTAACAGAGACATGTTTTCAGATATGGGTGACACCGTATAATCGGAGCGAGCTATGGGCCGGAGGACTTCTGGTGTACCAGAGTCATGGAGATGACACCTTGGATGTTTGGTCTCAGAGGTACTTGGCATTTGGCAAGGCGACGACATGAGAAGTATTGTTAAGAGCTGAGGGGTAGCTAAAATTCTGTTGTTTGGTTTGTGTTACAGGAACAGGGAAATTGAGGACAGGGACGTCGTTCTATGGTACACATTGGGATTTCATCACGTTCCATGTCAAGAGGATTTCCCGGTGATGCCCACTGTTGCGGCCAGCTTCCAGCTTAAGCCGGTGAACTTCTTTGAACGGAATCCAATTCTGACGGCTCGGCCAGTGTTCGAGGAGGACCTGCCGGTTTGCCGGCCTTCTGAGTCGGCTTCAATCATTTAAGCATAGTTAGTAAATACTCCGTTTAATACACGTATATGTACCCGTACGTACTTTATTCGTTTAAAACTTCCGTATCCGTATTATTGTCAAGCCGTTTCATTTGTTTCCGTTCATTTTACGGCTCCCGTACTAAACACGTATAAAACCCGTATAGCACGTTTAATATCCGTATTTAATGAAATAAATTATTAACTTTGCTATTTTTTACATATTTATTTATTTATAAAAATAATTAATTTTATATATTTATGACTATTAACGTACTATTAAACGTAACATTAGCTAAGAGATGAAGTATAATACCCGTACGTATTTTAAACGTAACTTTCCCGTACCGTATTTTACCAACTATGCATTTAAGTAGTAGGAACATGATAAGATAATGGAGTGTTACAGATATAGGGGGAAAAGGGGGATTATGAGCCGCTGGCAACATAACTATTGCAAATTGGAGGTGAAACAACTGCTTTCGGATGGCTGATTTATGATAGTGATATTGAAGCAATTGCAAATTAGTTGACTAGGCACATAAACAATGGAATCAGACCACAAGGCAGCAGTAAACTGACTGTGATGCAGAGTAATGGTCCGTCGTTATGCCTACACATTCATAACTTCGAGCATTAAGCTCTCTAGTCTCTACCATAACAAAAGTGCTCTGCTCTTACCGTCTTTGGCAAGCCGTGCATTAGAATCTAACAACTCACAAGTTTACAAAGCATGATATGAAGCTTGAAAGCTCTACATAAGAGAATGCAGAATCAACAAACGTTGAAAACAGCCCAGCTGTAACCCGAGACACACAGCTGCAGCAAACACCAGACATGACTGACATTACCGTAGAGAATGATTGCTGACTGGAACCAATCCCGCAGCTGATTAAAGGAATAACTCACAAATGCTGAACTGACAATCATCACAAACATGATACAGAATCAACCAGTAGGTCAGAACTCAGAACAGGCCAACACCCCATAAGAGCGATGATAGCTGATTAAAAGCCATCTGAAGTTCACCAGATATTTACATGCACAAACTTGCACAAGTTTCATCCTGGCATTTGATTACCAGTTCTTCGACTGCAGCACACTGGATAACATTGACACCCTAGTAATCCCTCATCCATACCAACTTTGCAACATAGCTACTGATATCATAACACAAGCAGAATAACCAGGCGCTCTATGGTTCAGTCAGCGTCTATCTTACAGTAACTACAAGATGTCAATTAGCAGTCCGGTAACTGCTTCACAAACCTGGGAACAGAAAGGACACATTACACAAACAAATATTCTCATGGACAACCTTAACTCCAGTGGACCAGATGCACCCCTGTATAATTGTCATGCTTTGAAAGTTCCTACACCAGTGTACAAAACTAGTTCATCATTCTCTCCACCAAACAACAAGCTGGCCAGTTATCATTGAATGCACACCACTCTGCATATAAAAACCGTGGCAAGAATACTTGACCATGTGCAGCCGCACACATGGAGCTAAGAACAAGAAGTCCTTCGCATGCAACCAAGTAACTTCCATAAGAGGGAAATTGTACAAGAAATACGAATAGACAAACCCCACTGGGTAAAGGATTTCCAGATCTTAATAAAAGAGCCAGAGATTTAGCAAAGGCGTTAATACAATTGGATTCCCATTTGAAATACCAGATGTAGACTACCCATTAAGGGAACATAGTATCAAAACGCAAAAACCAAAGAAAACCCCAAAATGCTCAACAGAGAGGTGCAGCATTCCTTCATCAAATTCAAATTCAACACATACTGTCAGTCATCCACCACATCGAAATGCCCAAACAAACAAGCAAACCCTAATTTCTCCTCTCCAAACCACAAACAAAAAGGAAGCGAAATCTTAAGCCAGATTACTTCAGAAAAGCAGAATCGACAAACAAACAAGACAAAGAACCCAATTCCCTTTACCGCAATCCATTACAGCGAAGGGTCTTTCGTTTCTTCACTTCGCAACCATCCTCGCAATGAAATCCTCGTACTTGATCTTCCCATCCGACCCGACGTCCACCTCCCGGATCCACTCGTCGAACTCCGCCGGCTCCAGCTTCTCCCCAATGCTGGTCAAGATGTGACGCAGATCCTGAACGGAGACGAACCCAGTGGAATCCTTGTCGAGCACCTTGAAGGCGTCGCGGAGCTGTCGATCGAAGGGCTCGGTCTTCATGTGCTTCCCCATGATGTCGAGGAACCTCGGGAAATCGAAAGGAGCGGTTAGCTTCTCCTCCGCGACGATGGCCTTGAGCTGGGCCTGGGTTGGGTTCCCGCCCAGAGAGCGCATCAGGATCCCGAGCTCAGAGGGGGCGATTTTGCCGTCGCCGTCGGTGTCGAAGAGGACGAAGGCCTCCTTCATCGAGTGGACCTGGTCGTCGCTGAGATCCTTGCCCATGTTTCTTTCTTCCGGTTCGGGTTTGCGGGTCTCCGATCGGGCTCTTGCTTTCTCGCACAGAAGCGGAAATTGGCCTGGGGAAATGGAGACTCTGTCTCTTTTGTAAGCTTTTTCTGAACGAATGATTTGGCGAGGTTGGGGGAAAAAAGGAATAAAAACGTATGGCAGGTTCGAGAGGAGGGAGAGAGAGAGAGATGATGAAACGGCTGCGCTTGAAGTTTACTTTGCAGCGCAGATATCTCGCTGGAAAGTCGAAACAGGGCCGGATAAAACATGGTGGGCTTGAGGAGTGGAGGGCCCAAGGAGTGATGTGTGAGCTGTGGCTGATCCAGCTATTTTAATCTTGAAATAAAACGGGGTTTTCGGTCTCAAGGGCCCAATCCAATTGGGCTGTTTAACAGTTAGGTTGCTAATCTGGATTTGGATCTTCCATGTGGTCAAGCAATTGGGTTGTGGGTCGATGGTTAAATCGAAATTAACTCATATCGACCCACTTTTATACTCATTTAACTCATGGCAACCTTATTTGCCATCCGATCAATCATTTTGTGAATGTGGTCGATATTTTTGTCCAAACCATGGTGACTTTGAAATGCATATACTCAGATTTATATTTTTGTTAACTATATGATGAAATAAATTATAAAATTGATTATTTGTTGGGTCGTTCAAAGCCATGACAATAATTCCACATTGCCACAAATCTCACTCTAAAGTTGGAGCACACTAGGTTGATATCTGAAGAATTTAACTTGCTATAGAAAGAGGATAATTTTTTCTACTTCTTCTTTAATGACTTTTCCTTCGCAAGTTAAATGGATGCCAGACCATAAACCAAAGTCATCTTGTCTATGTTGCTTTAATTTTCAACACTAATCTCCTGAGCAGTTGGAGAAATAAACGAAGCTCTGGCAGTTGGAGCAATAAACGAAGCTTGCAAAGACGTGTTTAAATAAAATGTTTAACTCTGTACACCGTTTTTCATTTTAGGATTCGTTTGATTTTTTATGATACTTAAATCAATGCATTGTGGTCATGCATTGTAATATACATGTAATTAAGGAAAATGATGTAAAGTACTTTACATTGTTTGATTTTGATGATAGTTTTTTTAGTATTCAACATGTTGTATTACTTTTTGTGAGAAATGTCACTTTTGCACTTGCTTTTAAGAGAACGTATATATATAACTAGGGATATACTTGGAACAAAAAATGAACCCAACAATCTCTTCAAAACTATCTCAACAATCTCAAATTTTAATAGAGATAGTACTATCACTCATTTTGAGTGATAGATTCCATCACATCAAGCAAACAATACATGTATTGTTTGTGCAAAAAATTAAAAAAAAAAATACATTATGAACAATACATGCATTGTAACTATCCCAACCAAACTATCACAAAAACCAAACGCCCCCTAATGAAATTACCCAACAACGTTAAAAAAAAAGTTAATGTTTAATCCCATAAAAATATTAATGTTAAAGATCAATAAGTCAAAATCACGTCATATTTTGATCGTAGAAAACTCTACCTGCATGCAGTGGCGGTTCGGTGTCCTCTTCCAAAAATTAAATTTACTTAAAATTTAAATTATATAATTATTAAATTTGAAAATATCCGACTAGTAAAAATCACAATAAAAGTTCATACGTGTTACGGATTATGAAAAAATGATAAAATACATTCGGTGTCTATACTGCTCAACAAATCTCTCTCGACATAGATCGTATTAGACAAGGGTAGTCCGTAATTGGGTTTAATCGTTAGGTTTTGATAATTTTGGTATAAGAATAGCCTTTTACTATTGTATTTAGATCTAAATACAACAACAAATGAGTTATAGACTAAATGAAAATATATTTAACAATAGTAGCAGTGTGCCAAGTTAAAATCACATAGACTATGACTTAAATATTATTTGTACCAGTACGTAAACTACTACAGGTAGTTAGGTCAACCTTTTCCCCAAAATTTAAGGGTATCCCGCTACTACTTAATTTTCTCTATCCATACACAAACTACTATCAGAGGTTGAATAATCGTTTTTCCAAAATTTAGGGGGTGTTCTACATGTATTCGCCACCGCGTGCATGCTCCCAGGTCTTAAGATTCATTCGTTTAATGATACGAAGAAACCTTTAAATTTAGTTATGTATTTATTGCTTCGTATTGTGTTTATGTTCTTGGTTTTGTTTTACATCGATGGTCCTTATCGTGATTTTTTCTTATTGTTATAAACGCTCTGCTACGGATCGGGAAATCACCGGAATCGATAAAGCAAGAATACGAAAGCGAGATAGAAAAACACAGACACACGATTTACATGGTTCACTAACACGACGTGTGTTAGCTAGTCCACGGGCGAGAGAGAGTCAGTTTCACTATATCGAGGAGATTACAGATTACAGAGGAGTATGAGAAGTATTTATAGTACTTCACCATGTGGGTCTAAATCTAATCCGATATGGCAAAAGGAAACTGTTATAGACTAGGCCCAGAATCCGAACCCAAATAACATTGAGCCCATACACCGCAGCCCGGGGGCGTTGCCCCCGCACCCCCACCGGAGCGTTGCTCCTGGACCCCACTCGCTGACCGGACTGCGAGAACTCTGACTAATCCAATCGTAGTGGCTGATAGTCAGATCAAGTCACATCAACACTTATGATGATGAACCCCCTATCCACAGTTTTTACATTGATGACGTCACAAGCAGACTAAACTCTGGATCGTCGATCATCAACAGAGTTTTTAATAACTGGACGGTATGTACCACTCAAGAGTTGTTGCACCAATCTAACAAAGACGAGGATCGACCACAAGATACTGTACATGCCAATCCACCTCTCCACCAGCCAGGCTAGCCCTAGTGGCTTACATTTTCTTTGTCTTAATAAAACTAGCGTGGGCCCCGGCCATTTGGCCTGAGGAAGGTGAGGTATGAAATTTGATAATGTAATGGGGTGTATAGCTTATTGTTGTATAGTTTTTTTGGGAAACATGTGATAAAAATAGTGAATTTTAGTAGGAAATAGACATGAATGATGCAACGAATCAAAAATCAGCCTTATGAACCAAAATAAAGTACCTGTTACCTTGTGAAACAATATTGTTTCTGGTAATATGATGAGGTGGAGTAAGTTTTATAGAAACCGAATTCCAGAAAATCGAATAAAAAATCGCCTACCCCGCCGGTTTTCGGGAAATGAGCATCTCACACTCGTTGCTAGCTTTTACTCGGCCCGTTGGCCGATTAATTTGCTTTATAAAACTTTCATCTTGTCATCATTGTGCTTTCTGGTTTTTGCCAAGCCATGATAAAATCTAAAGAAATCAAGAATGAACAACACGATTTGGGATAGGAACCACCGTTCCTGTATTTCTAAAAAAATGGTGTTAAAACTATAGAATTTGCACATCACTGATTCGGGAATAAAACTATAGAATTTCGAATGGAAACTGAAAATGTTTAGGATCGTTTTAAAGTTAAAAATAACCAAATAGATCTTCTATTTAGTTTTTTACTAACAAATACCAAACGATTCCCTATAATATACACTATAATTTAATCATTATGATATCAAATAATTACATAACATATATTTGAAATGATAAAAATTGGACTAATTGGGTTGGTCGAAGTTGAACCATTGAATAACTTTAAAATACATTATATTTTAGCCACTAAGATGGGAAAATCCTGTGTAGGTCAGGTCCATTCAACTCTTTTATATTATGATTAGCGGTTAGCCCATTGGAATCCATGCATTAGTTTATTGTTAAATTTTTTTCTTTTTAGCAATAAAAAGGAGTATTGTTTTTGCCTTTTCATATATATATTTTACCACCACGGAGAAATAAAAGGACTTAAAGAAAAAATTGACACTCCTGGACCCGTTTAAATCCGCATGTGTACGGTAAGTTGGCCCGTTCCACAGAGGAAAAAGAAAAAAATTGACACTCCCAATTCTACCCTTCCTACAAACGCTCATGGAGTAGGAAATTTGAAATGGGGGAAGAGTTTTTTTCCTCTCTGCGATTATATGTTTTTCATTTAAAAAGATACAACAAATGTACTTAGTGTGATTGGTTATGATCCTTGCTTTTATTTAAAGTGGTCATGGTTCGAATTCTAATAAGTGTCTTTTTAATGAATAAAAAAAGTAATTGTGAAGACCAAAATGTCCTTCTTACTTTCACTCTAGATGTATGAAATTTAAAATGAGGCTTAAAATTTTCTCATTTTCCTTTTATTTATTGTGTAGATGTATTATTTTAGTATGAAAAAAATATTAGTTAACTTGTCTTTCTTGGTAGTGCTAACCCCTCTGCATTTCAATTTTCAAACGTAAGAGTTGGGAACCAACTTTCTTTCTTTCTTTCTTTGTGCGACATGATTGTGATATTTTGAGATCTGGGTCCAAAATCGACCCCATTCACTTTAGGCCAAGATTTAACTTTGCGTCTATGTAATTTTTGTCTTCCTTTTTCTTAATTTCTACCCATGCCATGATATACCTAATTGGAAGTCGGGGCCAATTTTTTCAATTTGTCCCTTTAGTCATCATTTCCTTTGTAATTGGTTCACTAGTGGGTATCTTTTACCCCCAAGGCAATAAAAAAAAATTGTACTTATTCATCAAAAGAAAAAGAAAGGTTTGGTAAGCCAAAACTTTTACAACTATTGGTCAATGAAAAGATGATTTTTCAATGTTTGGCATGTTAGCAACATCTTATACTATCCTTAACATAATTCCTCACAATATTATCTAATTTTATGAAAAAAATTGGTATCTTTCGCATAATTCTTTACCTCGAATTGAACTATATTTCTTACTTCTAATATATATCTTTTAGGGTAAATACAATATAATAGTCAAACCTTTCGTTTTAACGAAATAATAGTCAAACATTTTTCAAAACAATTTAATAGTCAAACCGTTAATTTTTCTTCCAGTCGAACGTAAGTTGACTCAGACCGTCTTGACGTGA